TAAATGATACATGAATTGAAACAAAACATGGTATAGACTGAGGAGTGACTCCCGTGAGGTTCATGTATTTTCTTCACTCCGCTGGGAAACTGCGTTGACCTGACCTGAGACCTGCGTTTATACCGTGTTTTGTTTCAATTCCTGTTTCATTTAGTTACACATATGTGATATATCTGAACAACAAAGTGGTCAAAAATCATTTTATTAATTTGTTGGAAACATTTTCATGATCGCTTTTTTCGTTTTACATTTTCATGTATTTTCATTTCCATTCAGTCAGTCATTAAGTGCTATTAAAATGTTAATGTGCTACATATCCAAACAAACAAACAAAGTGTGCAATCCAATGCAGTGCATGACATTAAGGATTTTGGGAGATGGCCCTGTGGGCCATCTAAGCTAATTTACAGATGGCCCTGAGCCCAATAGAGATTGCCCTGAAAAATGCTCGCGGACGAAATGACGCACGAAGGGTTTGGGGGGCCTCCCCCTAGAACATTTAGATTTTTGCAGGTCTTAGATGCTGTTTGGTGCATTCTCTAGACTGAATTATAAGATGAACCACCACAATATTATATTTTTCAATTTTATTCTTCATTTCACTTGTTTGTTTGTTCTTGTTTGTGTTTGCTCGCTTGCATGACCTGCATAGCTATAAGAAATACTTAAGTTGTTGGTCAAGACACTTTCCATCTGATGAAGGCAAATGGCTTCCCAGATGTAAAAAAGTAGAAAACATTACATTCAGTTATAACTGCCAAAACAAACATTATTTACACTATTAAAAATGTTTGTAATGTTATCTACTGTAAGTTGGTCGAACGAATGCCTCCTCATCCGGAAGCTGACCGAGCAGACCCGAGCAGCAGTCGAGAGGAGCCGAGCGCATCCGCGAAGCACACAAAATGGGACGTCAGAGTTCCCGTTAGCCGGCAAATCTAAATCTCTTCGGTCAAAATGATTTCCCTTTAGCGCAATACCGATTCAGTTGCGCCACTTATGTGACAGACAAGAAGAGTATGTGACAGACAAGAATAGTCAACTCTAATGTCTAACACTTAATGTGGAGAAAGAGATGTCCTGTATGGGTTGATTGTGCGTTGATCTGTTGGTAATGCCTCAGGGTTCCGGTGGGCATGTAAACAAATGCATAATGCTGCGCTATACTTTGCGGCCTCACCCGGTTGCATAGCGACACTTATTGTTTAGGTGTCTTTTAATAAGCAGGTAGTCATATCATTAGCTAGAACTAGCTGGATCTGATCGATATGGACATAAACGCGGGTGAAGTCTAATCTGACGGGAGAGAGAGATCAGCTGCTGCTGACGAGTCGATACGCAGCTCTGCATAATCACCTGCAGCGGTGAGCGGACAAAACACACACTTCAGGTTAGAATATCACACGTAGCTATTTTAATTACCTCTCAAACTACCTAAACTAGTTATAGATATGTTTAGTTTTACTGTCGGGTCACTCATTACTGGATCCGCGAGCTGCATGATACTGGCATAATAGATTGCCCGGTCGGGCAACCAGCAGGTGAGGCTCCATTGCCCGAGCTAAATACTAGATGGCCCCGGGCCATCGGGCAGTCCTTAATGTCGAGCCCTGCAATGAATGTTAATCTAACTGGGTTTTGATAGATAACATATCTATTTTTCTTCTCTCAATTATTTTATTTATTTTGTGCACTTTAAATCAATATTAATCAAACTATTGTTCGTTTATACATTTTAAGAATGGCGTTTATCTTTTTTGAGAATGAGTTCTTATTTTATTTTATTTATTGGGATCTACAACAGATGATACAAATGTTTGTGTCAGTAAATGTGTACTAACAGAGGCGGGGGTGTGTGTGGAAATAACGGGGACAGAGCTGGCTATTGTCAGACGATCAGCTGTGCAGCGTCATCACAAACGGACGTCGCTTCACGTGACGCTCCGGAGGAAAGGACGTCCCATTGCTCTTAAAACTAATATCCCTGCTTCTCGTGGTTTCCTTGCGTCCCTCCATGCTTCCCTGGTGGGAGAGACTAAACGCAGGGAAACGACGCAAGTGAGGGAAGCAAGGATTTCATTTAATCGACCTGAGAAGCAGCCATAGACTTTACTTAGGCGGACCGCCCAGGTATATTAACGGCCGCCCAAGTGTATTTCGCGACCCATTTAAGTTGTTTTTTTTGTATTCGTCCGCGACCACAACGCCATCTGCGATCGATTAACTTGTGGACAATGATCCCTCGCTCTACGCCTCCTGTACCCAGTCCCGGACTGGCCATCGGGAGGACCGGGGGGTTTCCCGATGGCCTGGCCTGTTAAGTGGCCTGCTAGCATGAGGATTTTTTGATTTTTTTTGTATGTATTGTGAACGCAACGCTGCGCAAATGTGGGTCTGCCTCACACAGGGTGACTGGCTGTCTACATGATGTAGCCAGCCGACATGGCCACTGTCATACAGATCATAAATCAAAGCCCTTGATTGGTCTCTGTGTGTCATTCAAGCTCGGGATAACCTCAGCTCTGGTGAGGTAAAGGACTCTGAGTGTTTAGATAGTTCATTTAGTCTAAGTTCTCAGTGAGTCTCAAACGGTTTGGTCACCATTTATGTAAAACACATATTTCCATTTGAGGGGGAAGTGATTCGTAAAATATGCATGAATAAAACATTTAAAAAAGTTAACTAGGTGAAAAAATGTAAGATACACTTTTAAAACTTGTTGAGCTAAAACTAGTCTTTGCTGCTGCCTCAAAGAGAAGGGAGGAGAGGAGGGAGACAGGAGCACTCACAACTATAAATTAACCAAATATAAATAAATAAACAAGTTTCAGTGTTTTGTCATATTGGAAATATGTTATTTGTTATTGGTTATGGCGATGATTTTATGATTATTGAAATGTATACAGTTCTGTTTTATATAGGTGTTTCTGTGTTCCCATAGATCTAGTCTCTTTATTCCCCCCACAAAATGCACCAGATTGATGCATTTAACTCCAAAATTAAAAAATCAATCTTACCGGGGGAGCATGCCCCTAGGGAGCCCCTAGAGGATTTGAGGTCCACCCCCACTTAAAATCACATGGATAGGTTCCTAAATACATTTACATTTTTTTTTTAGTATTTCATAGTAACCCAAGTCCATATGTTTATTTGTGGGTAGTAGATTTAAACTATAGGGCTATCCCTATGGGCCCTGCCTGTACCTGTTCGCTCTGCCATCGCGTGAAGGGTCTGCTAACAAGCGACCAACAGAAAGGTTAATGGTTAATGTTGTTGCACGTCACAAAATTAGAACTGAACTAGTTTGGTGGCAAATTGGTATTCAATTGTGAATAAGCATTGACATTGTTCTCTTAAAAGAACAGTTAAAATGACCTTCAATTACAAATTCTAAAACATATCCTTGGCACATTTTATTTGAAGTTTCTGAACTTGTAACAAACCCAGCATTTGGAGTCAAGTAAGGTTGTAGCCAATAAAAGCTAGAAAGATCATTTCTAAGCCCTGCGTTCTGCCGTGTCTAAAGGTGAGTGTGAAAGCCGAAATGGTATGAACTTTGAGGTGTAATGACTGTTGGTGAATAAATGAGCCAAACAAAGTTCCTGTGTCTTGCTTGCCACCTGATTGTGTGAGAGTGAGTTAGCAACAACTTCAGCTCCGCTCACATGGACTCAGCATTAATGTGGACCATTTTATTTTTAGTGACAGGCTGCTTCTCTTAATTCTCCTCAGTTTTTTGTCATGTTTTAATGTTAAATTGATAGTATTAAGTGGTCAAAAATATAGCCGTAACAGTTCATTTTCCACATCCCCAGTCAGTTAAATTAATGCTGTGTGTAAAATATAAAACTATTATCTCACTGTAGCAAGTTTTGTCTTTGTGCTCTTTGTACTTAAACGGATAAAGACATTTGGGCAAGAACACAGCAGAAGCCCAATTCTTATGACATGTATTCACTAAATTGTAAGAATCGGGTGGGAATAGTGCAAAAGGTAGACATATTTATCCATGGGTATGTGTATCAGTAAAAATATAGTGTTAACTGATATTGAAAACAAATCCCTATCCGATTACTGGCTGGCTACTGCATATCCTTGTGGTAAGCCCTGAGATAATGAGAAAAAAATACTATACACACACCTGCAATTAACATGCATTAACAGTCTATCTAGAATTACGGGTATTATGTATCTCTCCGTTTCAACCAGACAAACTGTAAGAGAGAACACTACACATATTGTACAGCTATGTTAACTTACTTTAGAACATGTCAATTAATGTTATCACCATCATTATAGAATGGTAAATGATCTCAGACGAAAAACTCAGGAAATGCATTATAGTTACAAATGTTTTAATTATGAATGTAGGTGAGCAAAGTCTCTAAACCACTAATCCTACTCTAAATCATACTCTCCTATTCTGAATACCAGACGTCCAGTCAACAAACAGTGATAAAGATGACTTCTGTATAGGCCAAAGGTCAGCTGATGTAGTAAACTGGATATTGCACTAACAAGCTATCAACATGTTGCAGTGCTACAGACCAAAGCTTTGTTAACAATCCTGTCAGTGAATTGTAGAAACACTGGCAAAAAAATTCCAGCTAATCAGATTAAACAGAGCACATGAACAGCTAAACAACTTAAATGTTTTCCATACACTCCCCCAACCACTGAAACACTTCATTTTTGTGGCATCTACGCTGGAAAATACGAAATCAATCTGATGCAGCACACAATCCACACACCTACAAACATTATCAAAAATATATACGATAAAACAAGAATAATTATATTCCAAAACAACCTTCAGTTCTCATTGCCTTCATGATACAAAGATAAATGAGCATACAATTCCTACTTGTGTTATTTACAAAATATGATTATCCTTAACAGTTTTCACTTAAGGCTTAGCCTACGCACCGGGAGACCAGAGACATTTTAATCCATCTGTTCAACATCCTAACTTTATATGGCAGTAAACGCACAAATGTTACCTTGCAGTGTTTTCGTTTGGATTCCAGGTCCTTAAACTCTCTTTAAGTTCTCCTGTCCTGGTCTGCAGTTTCTACAGAGCAGCGCGATGCCCTCGTGTAGCGCAGGCCCGCGAGCACAGCGGTAATGTTTGTGAGGAAAGGAGATTGTTAGCGGCCGTAAAGTATTCGTCCTTCCATGTACATGTCATGTTAACCGAAAAAAGAGTCGGCAGGCTCGGAGTGGCAGGAAGCTCCCCCCTGCCTGCTCTGCAGTATTAGAAGAATGTCTCCCCCCCCCCTACTCCTCTCCTTACCGTTCTGCAGCTCATCGAAAACTAGAGGAAAAGTTTTGTAGCAGGAAAACCCCTCCCTTCCTCATTATCAAGTCGGTTTTTGCCAAAAAGCCCTTGCATTTCAAAACAGATGCGTTACAGTGAACCTATTAAATAAACATAGAATACTCAACAGTATTCAGTGAAAGTACGTGCTATTTTAAGAATAAGACTTACAAATTTGATTTTAGAACGTTTACGTTAACCAGGGGACTCTGCCAAGTTCCATGTCCATCTCACAGTTATGCAAAAGGAAAGGGAACATGGAGGATATGGAGGAGTATAAAATGGGAAATGACAAAGGGGCTTTTGTAAACTTAAGCCAG